GGTCATCACACACACACACACACACACACACAGCATGGAGGGGCAAGGTTTCTAATCCTGGAAGGCCATGTGCAATTCGGCTCCCAACCCACAGCACTTAAACACAGCATGACAGGGCTGCCTCTGAACTGTGTGTTATTAAAATCTAAACCAAAAAAAGAAGAAAAAGATCACTTTTCCTTTAGCCTTAACCTGTCTTGTTCCACTACACACATACACACACGCACACACACACACACACGCCTATCTTGTTTTTTGTAGAGGTTTTTGTCTTAGGGCACATGTGCTCGCTAGGGAGAGACAGACAGACAGACACGGTAAGAGGGAAAGTGAGAAATCACGCCCCAGGGGGATGGTCAGACCACAGTCCCTTCGCCATTCTCCTCCCAGGATCTTGGGCATGTACACAGGCGCACCTGGAGTGAGTTTCAAACCACCAGGTCTGGAATTCAAACAGCAGTCGACCACGTGGGAGTCCAGAGCCCTAACCACTACGGCATCTGCTGGCACCTACCTTGTTTTGATTCAGGTCAGATAACTCTAAGAGAACTGTAGGCCCAGGGAGCTTGGTCCCTGCAATGCAGGAACAAGCGGCTCCTCTGGGAAAATGTCAGAGACAGCAGCTGCATCTCTACGCTCTTAGCTAAGACTGAACGCACAGAAGCAGAAGGAGGGAGTCCTGCAGAGGCAATCCTGGGTCACACCCAGAGCCTCACTGTCCTCACCAGAAGGCCACCTGCACATCCTTGATCACCTGACTGACAAGGGATTGGTAAAGCCACAGGTGCCCTTGCACAGAGCAGCAGAGCCCGAAGACCTGCACACTTGGCAATCCAGGGGTCACTGAGACCCACAGACCTTGCGCCGAGTCCCTGACACTGACTCAGCACACGGAGGGAGTCTCGGTGAGCCAAGGGAGGTGAGCTGGGTCTCTCTCCTCTCTCCCACCCTAACCTGCCACCCAGTCCCAGGAATGTAAGCTCAGCAGCACCAGCAGACGCATAGCGGTTTTGTCACTGGACCCCCAACATGGCCGACTGCGGTTCAAGTCTCAGCTCTGGTGACTTGAAAATCACACTGGGCATGTCTGCATGTGTGCCCAAGATCCCTGGAGGAGAATGGAGAAGCAGGGAGTGCAGCATGGCCATCCCCCGGCAGGGGGGGTGATTCCTCACTTTCCTCTCCCTGTATCTGTCTCTCTCTAGCGAGCTCACGGGCTCTAAGGCAAAAACCTCTAAAAAAAACAAAACAAAACAAAAAACAAAGAATGCACGCTCAAAACGTTTGTTTGTAAACCCCTCGTCCTTCGGGTCCCAAATAGTGCCTGTCTTACAGCAGGCATATAATAACACTTGGGGAATTGACACTTTAAAGACTTTTTAAGTACCAAAAAATAGATTTTCATATATAGCAACAGAAAACCAATACTGTTTAAAATGGGTATGTCAAGAGATAGCATGGGCATGACAGGAAGGTAAATCCAGAAGAAACAGCAGAGGGAAAAAAGCTTTGCCTCTTGGAACTCTGGGGCTGTTTCTTAAATATGACTGCTTTAAATTTTCTAAAAAAAATATATATATATACTGCTTTTTACTATGTGCCACTCCTCGGATGGCTTTCTACTTCACACGTCTCCGTCCTGAACATTCCCAGCACCCTACTACTATTCATTTTGTGCACACCTGCCTTCTCTATCCGCGTGCACACACATTCACGTTAACGCGGGTGTGCGCGATCCTAGCCACGCACTTTCCAGCCAGCAGGTTTTCCTTGAACGCACCTCGCAGGGTCATGAGCAGCCCTCCGTGTTTCCCGTCTCCACCGCACCCGCCGCGTTCTGTCCTAACGTTACTGCCATCATCGTGCTAAATACACTGCGGTGGCACGTCTGGTCACGTCCTCTGACGCAGGTGGCCTCCGCGCATTTGCACCCGTCCAGTCACCTTCTGGGGTTCATTAGGCACCCCGGGGTCAGACTGCGGAGCACACAGGCCCGCGGAGAGACGGCGACGCGGGCGGGGAACCCGCGCTGCGAATGCACCGAGCCCGGGGCGGGGCGGGGTGGGGCCTGCCTGGCACGTCCCCGCCCCCGCGTCGCGTCACTGTCGTCCCGCCAGCTGAGCCCGTGCAGCTCGCCAGTGGCCCGTGCTCCCCGGCGGCGGTGGCGGCCGCACCGGCGATGGCTCCCTGG